ACGAATTAGGTATGGGTCATTCCATGCCAAACGTCCCAGACGTTGCGCTCGACCCCCTTCAATTTCTAAAAACAAATTAATGGCCTTTGCCGTAATGTCCGTAGCCATGTCCTAAAATATTTTTGACGAAAAAATTTGATGCTGTGAGCGCGGTTTTAATTTTTAAAAATAGCGCGAAACTAGGTATCACTTTATAATTGATGAAATATCAGCTTTTTTCTGAAACACCCAAAGCAAATTTTTATCTTAAATCTGCACTTCTTTCGACTTGCAATGTGGTTGGGCTTGTGCAGTTTTCTTTAATTGAAATATAAAAAAAAAAATTGGGTTATTTAACTTTTTTTTTTTTTTGTTTGATTAAACAATATTTAATTTCCCCGGGGACTTAACAGACTCTTTAACCGGCTGCCCCTGCAGGTATATAATCTATAAAAATTTGAAACCACTCAATTAAATATAAAGCAGTAAAAAAATCCTGAAGTTGCAAAAAAGTGCGTTTTGACGCAAAAGCAGCCGTTTATTTTACCCTGAGCTGGTCCAACTAAAACTACAAAATTGGTGGGTTTGGAAGAGCAATTAATTGTATTTCGATAGTGAAAGTTTAATCAAATATAATTTTTGTTTAAAGCGAGAAACAATGTTTTTAAGTTGAACTGTCGCACCGCAACCCGGCGTAGCTTCTTAACGCCTCTTCGCCGCACAGCACGCCACCGTCGTTGATAGCTGAGACTAGGGATTGGCAGTATTTCAAGTACAAGTATTTGAAATACGTATTTCAGATACTTTGTGTATTTTGCATTTGTATTTAATTACAAATTGGGTAATGCATTTGACGTGTGTATCTAAATGCTAAAACGTGGGTATTTCAAATACACTTGTAATTAATACATTTTTGTGGGCGAAAATATATTCCTCAAATTTATTGTCACGACTCATTTTGGTCATCCTAAGACGTGTTCAAAGCTGCTCTTTCTTCATCTCAACGCCAACGGCAACGACAAACCAAGGAACTCTTTACCTCTTGATACACCAGTCCTGCGGCAGTTCGCGTCTGACTCACCGCGGGCGCCCGGGCACGCCGGGCGCCCCCGGCACTTGCCTCTATTACGTTAAATAAATGTTATTGCCAAAGTTAAAATTCTTGTTCTTATGCATGTGGTTGTAAAATAGTCTCGATCCTTTATTCGGCCAAAAGGCTTTTTTTCTTTTTCTCCTCCGGCTTTATTTTAAAGGCACTGTCCATAGCAGGAAGAAAACTACGTTCTGCACCGAATGCAGTGTCTCTTAATCAAGCACAAGCGTTTAGTGACTTTGTGATTACGGTGCTATCCTAGGGCAAGAATAGTGACGAAATTAACGTTCACAGGCAGACTGGCTAAATAAGTGCCTGTGACAACTTGCGATGCTTTCCAGCCTGATTTCCATCCATATTTTTGCCTGGAACATTCTAATTGCATGGGTCGTCCAAATTTTCGTAACTGGTGAGAGTTGAAACAATAAAAAAATTATCTAGCTAGTGCTGCGCGTCTTGGTCATCTCGGTTCTTTGTTGGTCTATACCAAAATGTCATCAAGAAAAAAAAACTGCTTGAAGCTCTGTACTTTTTTCACCTATTACGTCCAAGCTGATTACATTTTTTTTGTGATTATATTTCTATTATGTTACTAGAGCCTCAAACACCAAGTCCCGAGCGTGCGGTGCAAAATTAAAATGAGATACACAGAAACCCGTTGCAGGTGCCCTGAAGTGGCTGACGCAAATTTTGAGGAATGTATTTGGAAAAGTATTTGGACGAGACCAAATACATTTGGTTGTATTTGCATCTTGTACTTAAATGCTTTTTTGGAAATGTAATTAGATTTGTAATTAAATACATTTTTGACGAAGTATTTTGTATGTGTATTTCGATACCTATTTGCATGTATTTTGCCCACCCCTGGCTGAGACGATTAAGTCAAAAGAAAGAACGGAGTTTTTTACTGCTTCCCTTTGTCCGTCTTTCCGGCTGCAAGGGAAGAAACGGCGGGCATCGTGTTGATAATCGGAAGTGCCGCCAGTGCGTAGCCATAGCAGGCCCGTTGTGCCCTTTCTATCCGAGGGCGGCTCCTCACATTTTAAAACGCAATGCCTAATCGACGGGCGGCGTCAGCTGACATGGACTTCCCCTAAAAGGGAAACACGACAATATTGGCGCGAAATCTAGCCGTCACGCATACTCTGGTTAAAAGCGGAACTATTCAGCGACGCAAGAATTTGCCGTTTCAAAGCCGATTTAAACACAAACGAGGCGTGAGCCTCCAACGGCGCGCAATCGTTAACACCACATCGCCTCGTCGCTTGAGATTGCCCGTTCACGGGGCTTTTGTGATGCTGTTTAACTAGTGTCCTGATGTTGAAAACATAGCATGTTTAGAATCAGCTGCAGCAACGAGATAGTTTGTAACAAAACTATCAAAAATGCTAAAATTATCATATATTCCTTTTTCTTAATTTCTTCAAACCGATCTTCATGATGCTTATTACATAGCAATCCAAATACCGTGTGCTTTTTAGGCAAAACTATTCCACCGTTCCATAAATATATCTTATTTCTCACGGACAAGTAGGATATTTTTTTGAACAAGTCCACGTCGTGTGACGGACGCATGGAGAAGTCCCCGTCGCCTGATGCCGCCGGTCGTTTTTGGCGTCACTTTTCGGAGTTTGAGGGGCCGCCTTCGGGTACAAAGGGCACAACGGGCCTGCTATGGCCATAGAGTTATTATAATGCACGCTAGAGGTTCAACTGGCGCTAGTGTCTATGCGACTTCCGGGAGGCAAATTGAAGCAGACAGCAACCAGTCTACTTTTGCGGTGCTCCTGTGCATTCCTATGGGAAAACGCGCGTGAATTTTGTCTCTTCGCCCGAAAATAACATGAATAACTTTTATTACTTCGGTTGTACCGGATAGTATGTACCTTTATTAACATTGTAAAAGTGTAATTGCTTTAATTACAGCATTTTTCTTTACTACTGAACGATGTTACGCTTCGCTATATTTCAAGCCCAAACCTCTGTTCTATGGCAGGTATGTAATAACGAGCGACGCTTCTGAGCTAAATAACGATCGAAAGAAATGTAGAGTGTGTTCAAGGTTCGCTAGCATTCCGGTGGCGCTTATATATTGCTAATATGCCCGTCCTGTCACTCTATGAATGTGACTCCGTCGTGCATCTTTACGGTCGGTTACCATTCGAATGTAAAAAAATAAAGTAGGTGGGCTACAAAAGGTGTGTCTTTTTATTATTTCCTATGGCAGGCAGTTTTTATCGGGCACCTGTTCTCTGACTTCTACTTGTAAAGATTTGAAGCGAGCGGTTGATGATTTGAACCCAGAACTATGCATCTTCGCACATTATCACGAGCAGAAAGAATAAAGCAGTACTTATTTATTGCAAATCGGACTATATTACGTGGCTTTCAATATATTTTTATCACTTGTATACACGAGGAGTTACTTGTCCAGTGTTACTGCGTAGTTTTTGCCGTCTCTGTTGGTTTTCCACATGTCCTTCGTTCGTTTGGGAAAGCGCCGACGCCTGCCGACGCCGTGTTCGACAGTGCACACAAATACATGTACGAAGCGGTTTTAGCACCGTTTTTCATGCCACGAATTTCAAATAAAAACGCCGTAACTGACCAATTATTTCGTCTGCGTGACCGAAAAATGTTTCAATGTGCCTAGTACGTACGAAATATTCGTGATATTTGCTCTTTTAATCGAGCGCAGCGAGAAAATGCACCCGCGTTTTCCCATAGAAAAGCATTACCGGAAGTCAATTTCAGACTGGTTGCGGTCTGCTTCAATTTGCAGCAGCACACTAGCGCCAGTTGAACCTCTAGCGTACATTATAATAACTCTATGGCTATGGCTACGCACTGGTGACACCTCCGATTATTACATGGTATTCGCCGTTTCATCCCTTTTAGCCGGAAAGACGGACGAGGAGAAGCGGCAGCAAGCTCCGATCTTTCTTTGGACCTAATCGTGTCATCTATCGTCGTAGGTGGCGTGCTGTGCGGCGAAGAGGCGTTTAGAAGCGACGCCGAGTTGTGGTGCGAGAGTTCAAATTCAGAAATTGTTTTCCCACTTCAAACAGAAATTACATTAATTGAACTTTAAGAATCAAAAGACAATCGATTGTTCTTCCAAAGTCACCATATTTCTTATTTTTAGTTGAACCACATCAAGGTAAAATAAACGACTGCTAATGCGTCAAAACACACTTTTTTTTAAACTTCAGGATTTTTTTTACTGCGATATGTTTAATTGAGCAGTTTAAACGATTTTTTTTATAAATTATATACCTGCAAATCAGCCGGAAAAAGGTTCTAGTAAGACCGCAGCACAATTAAATATTTTAATAAAATAGCAAAAATGTTAAATTAAAAAAAAAATGTTTTCAAATAAAGTTTAAATTAAACAAAACTACACAAGCCCCACCACATTGCAAGCCGAAAACCGTGCAGACTTAAAAAAAAAATATTGTTGGGTGTTTCATAAAAAACCTGACTTTTCATCAATTATGGAGTGATATATAGTTTCGCGCTATTTTTAAAAGCTGAAATCGCGCTCACGCCATCAAAAACTATTTTGGTCAAAAATATATTAGGGCATGGCTACGGACATTGCGGAGAAGGCCATGAATTTTTTTTTTTTTTTAAGAAATCGAAGGTGGTCGAGCGTTTGGGACGTTTGACATGAAATGACCCGCATTGTAGGTTTTGATGTGAGGGCTTTACTAGTTGTGTGTTTGGTGATCCTGGTCTAAGGTCTGGTCAGTACCTCGTAAACTCGTCACAACTAGTTGTTTTTTTTCTCCGCGTCCAAGCATTCAAGTGTTCATTGAGCGTTATCGCTCGTTTATCCTCAGACTTAGGTATAGCTAAATCACAGGGGAACATGCGCTGAGGACGACTCAAGAGTTCAAGATTGCTTATTTCACGGAGCTCTTCAGACATGGGTGAAAAGCCTTCGTCCTGGGCTTGTTTGCTTACACTCCTAGCGACAGCACAGGTCTTGCTGCTCACCTACGGCCAACAGGTGAGTGTTTTTTGGCTCGGTGGCAACCATCCACAGACCCTCTACGTTTTGTGGAAATGTATATATTACGCCATTGGCAAGCTTCCTTCTTCTTGCCCATTAGTCCCCAAACACAACGAGATGACTTGAATTAAGACGAAGGCAACGTTAGATAAACTCAATCGTACAGCTTTTTTTTTTTTTTTTGGGGGGGGGGGGGGTGGGGGGGGGGGTGTTACGCTTCCCCCCCCCCCCCCTTTTCCCCTACTACCCCTCATTTTCATCACTTGTCGCTTTAAGCACCATCTAAAGGATGCGTTTCAAAACTGTGTATTCGGTAAGGTATTCGGTGAAGCACCACATAAATACGCTAAGATACAAAACCTGTGCATTCCATAGAGCACACTGTAGTTACCATAGCAGTCGTCCCCAAAACGGTGGCGCATCGAACGACGGTAGGAGGACGCTGTGGGAAGGGGGGTGTACTGCTCGTCAAAGATGCGTCGATGGGCTGTTCTGTAACTGAGTTCGTCTAGTGACGTTGGAGAACGATATTGATCAATCCATAATTAAATACTTTTAGTAGATTGTTCCGGTAACTCTGGTAGCGATACCCGAGACTCCGCCGCCGCCTTTGCACGCTCATCGTATCGTTATCGGAAGCATCGGACGTGTCGGAACGATGTACTAAAACTCTTTTCTGTCATATTCTTCCATTTTCTCGGGCACAGCACAAGCGGTCCTTCACCATAGATTATGAGAACAACTGCTTCCTAAAAGATGGCGAGCCGTTTCAGATCATCTCCGGTTCCATGCACTACTTCAGGACACTTCCGGAGCAGTGGGAAGACAGACTCACCACCATGAAGACAGTGGGCCTCAACACCCTTCAAACGTAAAAGCAATTCAGGCAATACGAACGTTGCGCTGCACCGTTGCAGGCTCAAATATTCTTTCGTCGTTCCCACGTCAAACGTTCCGTCCAACTGGGCCATCTGCTTCCGTCATTCAAACTGACAAGCATGTTTTTCTTCTCATATTATATAGGAACAGCTCTGCGCTAGTTGATATCATAACCTGATTCCTCCTGCTAATATAGCCCACGTATACTGTACACACGCTCTTAAGCCTAACCAAAGACGCAGAGGACTAGTAACCGCCTGCTTCGGTTAGTTCCAGCGGCGTCGTCACCACGTTTACACTGTTTCGTCCTTCTCTTGACGCACATTTAGCTACATCGAATGGAGCAGCCACGAGCCCGAAAATGGCCAGTACGACTTCGAGGGACAAGAAGACATCGTGAAGTTCATTAAAATCGCGGAACGCCTCGGGTTTCTGGTAATACTCAGGCCAGGTCCCTTCATCGACGCCGAGCGAGACATGGTAAGCTGGAGGAATGACGTAACCCGGAGAAATGGCGTAAGTCACGTAGTAGTAATTAAAAAGATACAGGAAGATGAAAGAAGCTAAGAAGAAAAAGGTTAACAAAAATAATTGATGGGCGACTCAGAATGGTGGTTACCGCCTCAAGCCTGTTTGAAGCATGTTTACTTCATACATATGTATGCTTCAAACAAGTATACAGACTGTCTTTTGTATGATGTATAAGCAGTTTGACAGCGGATTTAGAGGAACGTTAGGCATCATACTAAGGAATAACAAAAGCTCATTAAAAATATATATATCACTAGAGGACGACATGCCGATGTGCTTCTGGTCGACATCGAAACAGGAAGGAGTGGTAATTTCGTTACGTAAAGTTTGACAAGGGGCTGGACAGAAAGACATGACATAGCCTAAGAACAGTTTACTAGGACCAGGGCATCACGGGGTGCTCTGATTATTTCTCGTAATTCTCTCAGCCATGTGCTAAAATATCATGATGCGTCAAAACGACTTTCGGCAGAAGTAAAATCAGGCAAAACTATTTATGTACAGAGGGTAATTTTTTCGGAAATGAGGCCCTATAGTATCCTCTTTCCGATAAAAACAGGTTAGACTTAATTTTATTTTTAACCGTAAAACGTATCCTCATCATACCCTAAGTGCTTTCGAAAAAAAATTAATTGCCTCTTCCCTTTCTTGACATTCACAAAAGAGATAGGATATACTAGTTACCACTGATTCAAGTAGGCCTCAATAAGGAGGCGATCATCTGCTTCCAACTTTCCTCAATGACTTCAACCTCTGAAAACGAACCTCTGATTACCGGATAAATGCTAAAAGAGATATTTTCTGGGAACTCATAAGGCATTATGTCTAACCACGAAAGCTGCAAGAGCAAAACCTGTAGATCAGACGGGTGCTCCCTCTGCACGAGCGTTCGTTCGGTCAGAAATAAAGGAGTCGCGCTTGCAGCTAGGTCTTGAATTTAGTTCATACTAAAGTGAGACGAAGTCCAGGGACATGACATAATGTGCCTGTCTTCATGCAGGGAGGTTTTCCGTATTGGCTGCTGAGTGAGGACAACACGGTCAGACTTCGATCCAGCGATCAAAGTAATCCATCATTTTTCATCTTTACAGAGTTCGCGAAATTGGGCGTGAAACTTTATCGCTGCCCTAGAATCTATGTAAAGGCGGCAGGTGATTTATTTATATGGCAAAGAGGGACTGAAGATTGAGTGACATGGGTTTTGATTAAATCGATCGTACGCTGCCGTTTGGATGTCTATACTTACTCTAGGAGACAGTTTATATAAAAAAAAAACTTATATGACGATTGTTCGTGATAATAAACAAGACTATCTTATGTTTCCTGAATTTATCTTTCTAGGATACCTGAAATATGTGGACCGCTACTTCTCCAAGCTGCTCCCGCTTCTCAAGCCGCTTTTGTATTCTAACGGTGGACCAGTCTTGATGCTTCAGGTGATATGTCGTATTTCATTACAAGCGCAAGCCACTAGGTGTCGTAGTATTTTGCATGATAAAAAAGCGCGTACTAACTCATCCAAAACAGCCAGAGACTTGTTTGAAGAAGTGCCCACGCTAAAGTTTACGGAAGTGTAAACACAAGCTATGAAGGACTTAAAAAAAACAAAAACGTAATTTCCTATTGCGGTACTCGAACTTCGTCCATTCAATTAACGTCGTACTCTCCAACTGCCACCAAAACGTGGAAGACAGCACTGTTATCCTAAAAAAGTGTAGCCCCCTGACTCATAAAGCAGGAGCTTGATAAGCTTACTTGTACTGTGATAAGCTACGTTCCTGAAGAGGTAACAGCGCTATGCTTCGTCTCATCATAAGTCAGAGCGCACTCGAGCGCAAGAAGACGTAGAAACACGCCCATACGTCGCCCTTCTCAGCGCTTAACTTGGTCGACAATAGAACACGCGCAGAAACATGACGAACGCCGTGACGTTGCGCTTTTGACCCTGCTTGATCGGTCCATTCGACGCGTAGTCTCGTCCGCGTCCTGACTCAGCGTGACACGACGTATGAGGTGTCTGAGATCCGGTGGTCTCCGAAGGTCCTTTTCACATTAAAAGCTTCTCACCCGACCACGTTACGGTAAATACAGATTTTGTAAAGCAGGGGCAACTTGGACACTCGACGAGAAACTCAACGAGATCGCCGGTTGCCGCCATTGGCAACCACCGAAGACAAGCTCGGCGCTGACCAATCGCGGCTTTCGGCTGTCTCGCTCACTCTCTCGACGAGTGCCCAACTTAGAGCCACGGCCCATGATCAGCAGCGTTCCGTGGAATCACCGAAGGACGTGAACTGAACTCAGGTTGAGAACGAGTACGGCAGTTACCACGAATGTGACTTCGTCTACACGGCCCACCTGAAAGACTTGATGCGTCGCCACCTGGGCCCTGGCGTTCTGCTGTACACCACCGACGGCAACGGAGACAGATACCTCAAGTGCGGAAAGAACGACGGGGCCTACACCACCATCGACTTCGGTCCCGGTAATGCTTACCGGTAATGCTTACCGGTAACGCTCACCAATAAGTTGCTGAATTTTCAGCGTCGCCTCAAGAGGCGTACGCCGATCAAGGATTGTATACGAGTGCCGCGTCAGCGTTCGGCTGAGGTTCGTACGCTCTCCGATTGGAGACGAGTCTTAACCGAACGCTGACACGGCACTCGGGCTCCAATCCGTGCCCGGGATCTGCCTCTTTAGGTGACGTTGATACATCAGAACTACAGGCCTTCTCGTCTAGGAGGTGTTGGTCCTTTACTGGAATCCAGCATACGAAAACAAGAGGAAGAGGGATATTATTCTTGTCCTCTCTGGTCCCGTATCTGTCAATCTATCTACGCTGTGGAAAGAAACAGTTTTAATGAACGGGTATGAAAAGGATCGCTACAGTTGCCAGTTTCCGAATCAAAGCATGCGGATAGAGGTTTGCAAGCGATTATACGTTTGTTTTGGCGCCAGTCTGGAGACCGAAGGCACGCATTAGGGAGCCTTAATTGTCTGACGATCTGCACGTATAGCCAGCAGAAAGATGTCGGCGCTCAGAAGCTGTACTTACAGACGCCTATGCGTAAATGGCTGAGCATGCGCCTGGTCGGTTCATAAAGAAAACGTAATCTAATCTCAATGCCAATTCTAGCAGATCGTGTTTCTGTAAACTTTGTATACACCGGGTGCTCAGGCGGCTTTTCTAAAGCGTGCTCTGCAGCGTGCGCCCGGAGGGGTAGCGCGCCTGCAAAAGCGCTTTCCATACTTTTATTTTAAGATATGAATATTATTGCTTTACAGCCCGAAAGTTTTAAGATACAATCTGCGCCAAGTCTCGGCAATTTAGCAACCGCGCCGCTCCCCGCAAATTATTTGTCTTGGACGATGGTGACTTCAAACTACGGTGCCTGGACAAAGGGGGTCTTCGACTGGTGTCTTAATTAGTGTCCTCTTCAGCCCATAACTTAAAAGTGGTCTCGCCGTACCAACAAATGACGTCACCGAAGACGGCATGCCACGCTGTCGGATGTCCCGATCCTGGCGGTTAATGCTGGAGATCCCGGCAAAATCTATACGAGCGAACGCCGGTTTCACTGCTGTCGCCAAGTCTTAACTTCTTGCTGCTGAGACTGTCGTTGACTTTCAAATCGGATAGCGACCTACGGGAGAACTGGCCTCTGTCACGTCCAGCGCAGCCGCTGTGGCACCGCCGCCAGAATCGTGGCCGGCGACAACATGACACTCTTATGACGTCATCGATTGGGAATCGAGGGAGTCCATTTTAGGATGTGCTAAATACACCGATTGGAGGCACGTCCCGGCAGCACCATGCGTCTTCCAACGCAGGTGCGGACGTGGTGGCCTCCTTCGCCGCCCAGAGGCGTCACCAAGACCGCGGTCCTCTTATGAACTCCGAGTTCTACTCGGGTTGGCTGGACAACTGGGGCGACAAACACTGGGAGGGAAACGCTTCTGCCGTTGCTGAGACGCTGCGAGAGATGCTGACCATGAACGCTTCCGTCAACATGTGAGCTCCTCTTTGAGTATACTTCTTTCGGTAGGACGGAGGGAACGCAAATACATCTGGGTCGGCTTGGTGATAGCACCGAGATATTTTGGTGACGCACTCCTACCAATGGCCAAAACTCACAATTAAAAAAATATAAGAAATGTATTTTTAAAATAATTTTGCCTAGAATCATTTGTTTTAAATGAGTGAAACAAAAACTTAATGTGTTGCAAGTTAGGTGACTTGAAACATTCCATAGTCACAGCAAACTCATTGCATCATGCCAACTTAATATACCCCCCTTTAATATAATATATATATATGTATGTATGTATGTAAGCATGTATGTATGCATGTATATATGCATGTATGTATGCATGCATGTATGCATGGAAGTGTGTATGTGTGTATGTGCGCGTGCGTGCGTGCGTCTGTGCGTGCGTGCGTGTGTGTGTGCGTGTGTGTGTGTGTGTAAGCAAAGTTCTCTCGACAGGCTCGTATCTTTTATTGTTCTAAATAACACCGGTGCATTGGTTTGTTTTGTTTGTTTGGTACAGATACGTGTTCCACGGAGGATCTTCTTTCGGATGCACAGCTGGCGGTAAATAGTCCCTTGTTCTCACTTTCCCGTGACGAACTGTATAGATTGTTTTAAACAAACATCGCGGCCTAATTCAAAGCAGATAAAGCTTAAAAAATAATTGCATCCAGTTTTAATTTCAGAGTCCCATACCTCATGTCATGCTTTATATAAGGCGCGATCGTTTAAATGTGTTTAGAAGACATTAAAGGATTGTTTGAAGGAATAAAAAAGAAGCTACATTTTACAGGGGGCCATTCCCGATATTTACAGCGCGTGCTCAGAACGAGCTCTCATTAACAGGCTGCTAAGACCGGCTGTCTTCCATGGTGCGGAATCCACGTTGCAAAAGAGCCGTGGAAGTTTGCCGTCAGCACGCGATCAGGAGTCGCGCACGAAACGATGGCCGCAGAGTCCCATACATGTCCCTATAAATGAAGCTGGAACATTCACGTCTCATGACGCCATGATTTCACGTCCCACCGCACTTTGACACGGTGACGCCACATTACGCGACGTGACCACGTTAGCGAATTGGTGTTTAGTTTAGGTAACGTGACGTCAATTTTCCCGCTAAAGTAAGCGGGTACAGAGACTTATTGCATAGGTCACACGAGACTAACATCCCACGCTATATTTTGAAGCCGAACTAAATAAGCGTATAGACCTTTCCTATGCGAGCGCCGCCATCTTGAATCGCCGAACTTCCGGTATGAAAACATCGTTCAGCTCTCCCCAAACGACTGGGAGGAGCTCAAGTTTTAAACACGAATGTCTCTACCATCCTTCTTCTGTCTTTCTTTATTCTTTTGCTTGTTCCAGATTGTAATACCCTACTTTTTTTTTCATCACGCATATTGAATTTATCAACTACGTGGCATGGGACGATGGTAAACGAAAGAGGTCTATGGGTCAGGTGATCAATCTTCCTATAGTCTAGCGGGGACTTTCAAAGGACGTACGTGCAAGTTTCTGTAATTAGGGAGGTTTCTGTTAAAAATTATATGCTTTAAGATGCGAAACAAAATAAAGTGTTGGTAAAGTACATCTTAAAAGTCCTTGAAGTTAAGGACAATGTAGATGAGAGTTTAGGTACGTCAAGTAAACTAGGAAGTACGCAGGGTGCAATCTACTAAAAGTACTATAAACACCATCTTGAGAAGTAAAGTACAAGGACGTTTAGAGCGCAGCTCTTAGGCGCCCGTTCCCGCGTTTCGCAGCGTCGCCGTCGGGGTCGGCGTAACCGCCCCGCTAAATTTAGCGGAAAATTGAGTTGGTATTGAGGTCACGTGGCGACGGCGTCAACTGCCTCGATAAATATAGCGGAGAAACTGAATTTGTTCATGGGTGGCGTGACGCGAAGTCATGTGACGTCATTTTCTTGCTAAATTTAGTCGGGAAACTAAATTTGTGTTGAGGTCACGGGACATCAATTTCCCCGCTAAATTTGTCGGGGAAATGTTTTTCTATATTTAGCGGGAAGATTTTCCCGCTAAATTTAGCGGGTTAAGTTTCCCACTAAATTGAGCGGGGAAATTGACATCACGTGACCTCAACACCAATTCAGAGTCTCTGCTAAATTTAGCGGGGAAAATGACGTCACATGATTTTGTGTCACGTCACTCATGAACAAATTCACCGGGAGGAGAGGAGGAGGGAAGGAGAGGAGGGAAAGAGGATGAGAAGGAGGAGGAAAGAGGAAGAGGTTTGGAAGATGAAGAGGAGAGGAAGAGGAGGAGGAGAGAAGGAGGAAATGAGGGGAGGAGGAGAGGGAGGGGCATACCTTCCCATCTGTACCCTTCCCTCCTCCTCCTCAAGAGCTGTGATCTAGTTTCGCATTACAGAGATTTGTAAACGTCTTTAATTTTTAACGTAATATTTTAGGATGAACTTAAATTTCTCTATGCATGTTATTTTTAACTTCTATGCGTTGCTTCAGGTGCTTTCGGAAATGGCGGCGCATATTGAATAAAGTTTAGCGGCCACATTGTCGTTGTTTTACGCTGGCTTAGATGCTTTTTAACACAAGCAACTTACAAGCCACTTACCTTTTGACAAAGCATTATTTTGAGATACAAATTTCATAATATCGAAGTTTGGGAATGTATTTTAAAGTCGGCAGTTGCACTTTCCTCGGAAAGTACCAGAAAAAAAAATATAATTTAAGTAAAGTAAAAATGCACTGTCAGGCAATATACGTCTAGTGTACACATTTCCTAAACCTACTTAGCGTAGTACTTTAAGCACAATGTGCTTAAAGTACTTCCAAACGCTGACGAAATCTTGCATTTGGAAGCTGGGCCACACTCTTCTTTTAAAAGATCAGACACTTAAAAAAAAGACTGCATTTTCTGCCGGAAATAAAATAGGAAAAACTGATTACCGCATTTCTATGCACTTACGCAGCCAATCTTGACAAAGACGTCTACTCTCCAAATCCGACCAGCTACGACTATGACGCCCCAATGAACGAGGCTGGAGATCCAACTGAAATGTTTGAGGCTCTGCGCCAAGTCATCAGCGAGGTGGGGAAAAATCTAGATTCATATAAAAATAATATTAAATACATAAATGACCGAGTGGATAGCGAGAAAAGAAATATATGCAGGTAATAATTAGGTTTCCGTGTTTTCGGTCTACACCTAGCTATAAACCCAGAAGATTAACCGCCGAGCCGGATTCATAAAAATCGAATAAAAGTGAAAAGAAAGCACGATTTGGAGCGGTCTTTTAAGAAGAAAAACCCAAGATTTTCGGAAAGAAATCATCTACAGTTTTAATTTGTGTTGGAGAAGAAAGACGATATCTTCGGAAACCATTATCTCGTTTCCTTTTCTTATCAGTACCGAAATATATTCGGAGTATCCTTCGCATATTGCCTGTGCATGTTTTTCCGCGTTCGGTTTTCTTCAAGATAAGTGCCGATAAACACCGATTTCTTGCCTAACACTAAAACAAACACCGAAAAACGCCGAACTTGCGGACAAAAATAAACGCAAAAAAAAAAAAAAAGACCCACTACTTCACAGAAAACTAAACTCGGAAAACACAGAACTCTAGTATAATACTACCCGCGTAGTATTATGCATGCCCGTGCACGGCCATATAGAAATTCTGCGTGCACGACCATATAGAAATTCTATGAAAATGTGCCTTTTCTTTTATAGTTTGTGCCCGAACCTCCCCTGGAGCCCGTGCCGTCACCTAAAGCGAAGATGGCGCTAGGACCCTTTACAATGAGACGTGTAAGTAAGAGAGAAACCTGAATGCATTCGCGGTGCGAACTTCACGCGTCCAGAAAAGCACAATAATTGAAGAGTCGTCCAATTCACACCACAAGTTTTCGAAATTGCTTTTCCTCAAATACCGAGTGAGAAGCAAGAAAAGGATTATAGGCAGAGACTACCCAAGTCTTCAGTACCCGTACTAGCTCCTATTGCTTTCATAGACGTTAAACCAATGTCGAATGACTTTAACCGATTCAAATTGGCACGAAAGTGAAGTTGCAGATCGTCCTTTTACGGAGCAAACTTGACCTTCGGTCCCTAAGCATGCTATAAAAACCAAAATTACTTTCATGCATGGCCCTTTTCTCTATTAAAACGCGATAAACTTCGCGACACAAATAGGGGCGTGACGTGTTACTTGCTGGCATTTTTAACAAAACTACACAAAACTGTAGTTGTTAAGAGTTTTATGAGGATTACGGCGCATTTTAGAGTTGGTCCCATAAAAACGCGATCTCTAGGCACGTTTTAATGCCCATTTTATCACAATTTCGCGCAATACACTTCGTTTCAGCTTAAGCATAGACGCTGCCGACACTACGAGTTGATGGTATCAATCAGACAGCGTCAAACGCGCGCCATCATGGTGCTCGTCATGTTTCTCTACGTGTTTTATCGCTGAACCAACGATAAACAGAAAATGCCACGTGAATTGCTCTTTGAAAGCTGGTTCGTTGGTCCCATTATCTGCTCGCGTCGGTTGCGCCGTCTCGGGACACTTGTTTGATACCGTAAAAGTTATGTCTATACATTTACGAGATAAAAGGGAGGGATATAAGCAGTCCGAGTAATATCTAGAACACATCATTCATCGTGATATTGAAAATTAAATAAAGAAGTCGAAGGCACGAGGGGGTCACTGATAAAACTACATGCACGCTTCTGGTTTTTTTCTTTCTGAAAGTTGCCCCACCTTCGAAAGATAACCCGCCCCTGCTTATGTCCATAATTTGCTATTTTCTCTAAAACACACACAAAAAAGACTCGAGGTACACTTAAGCACTTTTTATGAGTTGTGAATGCGAAAGCACGCACGCCGCGCTTCGCTTCATTCTTTCGTCTGCGGCGCACGGCGCGCTGACTTTGGGCGTGGAACGGTGGAGCCGCTGCCTCGCGGACACGCAGCGCCATCGGGTGAGCGATCGTTCAAACTGACGCGCAGCGGCCAATGGGAGCCTCGTTGACGCGCGCCACCCATTGGGACCGAAACCGGAAATTTATCAGCTTTACTTCGTTCCTTTGGGATTGGGGAAACTAGGTGCCAGGTCTAGGCTTTTCGCGTGGTTTCGTAGCTTCGAGCTGGCTACACTTGGAGAAAGGGTTTAAGGTGCTGTTTTCGCGCTTCAAACTGGTGACGTCGGCTCACTCCATGGGACCCCCAGTTAATGCCGTCGCATTAAAATAGCACAGCTCAAGTAATTGCAGTGTCCGCCGCAATCGCGACCTCGGCCGAAATTGGGTTTGTTAGCTACGGCGGGAAGTAAGCGAACATTGGCGACTGGGTAGGACAGTCGCCTGTTTGATAGCCCCTTATTAATGTAAAAACAAATTTGGCAAATCGGTTTTCTGTTCACACCCTAAAAGTTACCGCACTCCCCATTTTTACCTGATTTGCTCTCAATTTTTTGTGGTGGGCTATCTTTCGGGATACTATAGTAATGGTTGGTTTTCACTAAGGTAGCGAATTCGCTCGGTTGATGAACGTTGTGCTGTTTGGTACTAATTAATTGCGAACCGCGGAGCCCGTGGTCTTCAGTACCTGCAGCGCACGCTAGGGGCGACTACGGACTGATAGAACTGTCGAGTCGAGAGAAGGGGCTACGAGGGTATATCTGCACATCGGAGTAGGCGCGCACCGTCGCAGCCCCCTTTTCCCCCTGTAATCAGTTCCTAGTAGCCTCTTGGTAGAGCAAAGTGTATCGTATACGCCACGCGCTCCGCTATTCGAATTTCATTCATACTTTATAGTACATAATAGACTGACCCGCTTTTTACAAACAAGCCCGCGTTTGCCCACATCAGGTGTGGGCACTGCGCATGCGCAAAAACCGAATTCGAATGAACTGAAGCTTCAGCGCATGCGCAGAGCCGTCGACAGCGCCACCGCAGCTGCGTGACATCAGGGACGCGTGTTGGTCTATAGGTACGAAACCCTCAGTTACTGCCTACAAAAAAAAAAAAAAAAAAAAAAAAAAAACAACAAAAAAATACAGCTTTGTTTTGTCGGAATTGTATTTTATTTGTCCGAGTTTACTGCGTTGTTCCTTTCCATCGCGTTGGTTCCTTTTTCACGCCTAACTTGCTTACAATTAAAGTACGGCCTCCTCTGTCCCATAACTTGTTTATAGTGAAATGTTCCACAACTTCTTTCTAGTACTTTATGTACGTCAATGTTTACAATAAGAGAGCACTCAGTGTTGACGACAAACAGAAATAGACTCGTTGTCACTACGAAACAAATATACCGCACTTTCTTTTGCTTCACCCCTGTTCGCTCTAATTTAGCTGCTTCTTGACAATGTACAACCTGCCGGCCCGTTCAACGATCACCGATCACATTTTCCTGTTCCAGGTGATGGGCCTCGAAGACATCATGACGACGGGACCCATCATCTCCTCCGAGTTTCCCTTGTCATTCGAACAAGTTGGCCACGTACGTTCGACATCGTTATCTGCCTTAAAAGAAAAAAACACGGGCTGCACAAAGAAGCGTCCTGTATGCACGGCAACTTAAGGAACGCGGGCGTGACGAGATTCGGATATATCTTATTATAAAGTTTTAGGAAACCGGTTTTGCACACCCGATACGGTACGATGAGCCCTGCGGTACGCACTGCGCATGCGCGATAGCACAGGCTCAGTTGGTACCGTATCGGATGTGAAAAAACGGTTCCCTAAAGCTCTTCTACTATAATAGAGAGTTTTAGTAGATCGTTCCGATACCTCCGATACCTCCGATAGCCCCGATAACGATACTATGCATGCGCATGGGAGGCGGTGGCGGAGTATCGGGTATCGTTATCGGAGACATGGGAACGATCTACTAAAACTCTCTATTCACTCCGCGGTCGATACGATTACGGCATCGGCCGATATGCGGGATATGCCCACGGCAGAACGAATGACAAAGCGAGAAGCCCTATAATTAGTATGCCACGCCTCTCGGGCTGTCACTAACTAGCAGGTGAACGTGTTTCCTATTGCTGGCAAATATGTTCCAAAAGCCAGAGCAAACTTAGTTCATCGTGCTTCGTACCGAAGTGAATGTTCCATAACTTAGCAACGCAAGTACAATACTCCGTTTCGCCCTACTATGAATCTCAGGGTGGAAAATAAAAAATCAGCGTGATTAAAATCAAGATTTAAATCGAGATTTATATCGTGATTTACATCAGATCAGTTTTACTACGATGTTTTAAATCGAATCTTCCCCGCAAAAATAAGTTTTTATAATCGTTTATTTTTTTTTATTTACCGTTGCTCTGTGATTTGACGCTTTTTATGAGCATTTGTTGAGGTAGCATTTAAATCAAACAATCGTTAAACGGGAAAGGTGTATATCAGGCTGAAAACGAGCAGAACGTTGTTATCTACTGAGCAGATCGGAGAATATTGAGCTTTCTTTCTACCATACACTTCGTTCGAGAGTTAAGTAACTTCCTAATGCAAGCAAATTGGAACGCGAAAGAAACAAAAACTAGAAAATGAATGTTTATTGCGAGCAAATTAAAACGTGAAAAAAATCAAATAAAAGTTTTAGCTAATTAAAAAAAAAAGATCAGGCGGTTTTTGCTTTAGTATGTCGGGTTAATAAAAACATTAATTAAAGTGCATTTTAAATTTACAGTAATTATTTCTTCCGCATTGTTATCAGTGATCGGACGGATTGGTCAATCAATTCGCCATGTTCAGGAACGCATGTAGTGATGAAGATTCACTATTTTCTAGCTGCCTTGATTTAAATAAAATGGAAGTGATTTAAATCATTAAAGGGGCACTGAAGTCTTTTTGAAAAAAAGGTCGTTTTTGATTTTATATTGTTTAAAATGTGTTAGTTCCCACATATACCAAGTCCTATATTACGAAACCACCTATTCATTTCAGGGCAATAGAAAAACATGTCGTCTCACTTCTCTCGCGGACTACATTTTGTGGACCAATGAAAGCCCCTAAATACGCGCAGATTCCGAATGATTTTATAATAACTCGTTTAGAAGAGAGTCTGATAGGTACACATTTGTATAAGAGCTCTTTTTCTCCGCGGGCGAAGCCATCGCTTGCAACCCACCGACAAGCGCCCTTCGTCAACCACTTCAGTCGGAAGACATTTCTTGCCAAAAAGGCCGTGTCGCGATTTTTGAACACGCTTTCAACGAGTAAATATGTTACAGACAATTGCGATTTCGGGTGTGTTGGGATGCTTAGAGCGTCTAGATTGAGTTGTAACCACAAAAGGACGATCTCAGAATCGACTTCAGTGCCCCGTTAAATGTAATTTATTCGATTAGAAAAAAATCAAAACGTTCAGCCTTTTCACTCTGGTGAAGGAAGACCAGCGAAGGTGTACCCTCTCGTCCCGTGCGTTTCTTTTTCGTCCTAGTCTGTTTTGCGCGCTGTTTCCTACGATGAATTCCTACCAACTCGCCCAACTATCCATTCTTCTATGATAGGTGGAAAGGTTGCCGCCATCTATGAGCGACGGTGGCAATCAGACTGGTCGTCTGGTTGCCGCCGTCACTCATAGATGGTGGTAGTGCTCCAGAGTTTTGTGTCGACATTTGTTTGGTACCGGACACGAAACCGGGGTAACGAGCCCTTAACAGCCGCCGCTGTAAAAAAGCTGAATTTGTTTCCACCCTGGCTACGAGCCATCCCAGTCGATCCAGCGTTGTGAACGTATCACGTGATTACGCGTCCCTGCACCCCTCCCGGAGGTCACGAACTTCACGCGGCATGGGATTGCCTTGGATGGATCGTAGCCTTTGCTACAATCCGTCGTAAAGGTGATCATTAGTTGAACCATGTTGGTGGCAAAAATCTCGATCACAGAGTTTTTGTTCTCGTTTGCGAGAGTTAGACCGTCACGCACTTCTATAATTGATTCAGCGTTTGTCGACAAGTTGCCGTTGTTCCCTAGTTAAGCATTTAGGCTCACTAAAGTTAAAGGAAACGAACGTTTTGGTACATCAGGGTCACGGCTTGATGATCTACTACACGAAGATATCTTTCCGGCCTCGGGACCCGGCGGTTCTGCACATACCCGGACTTCGAGACCGTGGTTACGTCTACGTCGAAAATGTGAGCTTACAAACTTATTGTTTTCCCCTTTTTTTTTCTTGGTGGGCCGTCTTTTATGGATACAGCAAGAAGACATCTGTGGCCCATACTCGTATTCAACTCAAACACCGTAGTAAAAAATAAAGAAGTCCCACTACTAATGGGACGTTAATAATCTGCCCCTTCGCGAGTTAAACTAAGGTATACGTAAATGCATCTTAATTATCTTTATGTTATTTTATCCAGACGTGCGCGTTTGAAGCGCCAAAAGCATCGTTGTTTGATTCAACGAGTTTTGATAGAACTTTGGAATTGGCAATTGCATGAGGCATGGTGTAATGGCGACCAGACGCCTTAATGATAATTGGGTTGTGTGGATATTTATACAGCGAGTCGTTGGTATTGAACAACGTTAATATAATATAACCAACTCAGTTATGGAACCCCGCTCCGGAGGGGGGTCCCTTTGCGTGGCGACTGGCAGAGGGCGCGCGCTCGGCATTAATTAATACTCGCTATCAGCAACAATGACGTCGCGCCTCTGGCCGTTGCTTCTGGCTTACAGAGCTCACGGATGTTTGCGGCGCTGTTTTTGACAGCAGCAGACGACTTTCAAATTGTTTATTCTCCTCTTGCTAGTCAGTCACGCAATAATTCAGATATTCTTAACCAATAAAACATTGCATCTGTGTTCCTGCTGACCCTAAACCATATTTCAAGTGTCGTCTGCTATCGGTGCAAAAATTTGATCGCGCGCGCGTACAGTCCCTCGGTTGTCTGCAACGGCCGCGACGGGGACGCCCGCGCGCATTTCACACCTCGGAAAGACAACGCAGAGAAACTTATATCAGGACATCAAAGTTCACACATTGTTCAGAACTTGTGAAGCGACAATCTGTGAGTCTACAATTTTATCAAAATATGCCGCTGGCGTACTGCGCACCGGAGTGTCGACATCGTGTAAACGGTCGGTGTCAGCTACTATGGCGAGACATTTCTTCAAAGTTCCTTTGGACGAGAAAAGACGCGCCTTATGGGCGAGAAAGTTCAATTGGCAAGAAATAACGCACATGGACTTCCTTTGTGATTTGCACTTAGCGGAAGAGGAAATTTTGAAGTACTTCGAGCATGAGATTCGTGGAGAAGTCGTCCTAACGCCACGGGGTAAGTGGAGTCTGAAAGCGTATTTGCGACTTTCCCGGAAGATTTCCCGCGTTCGGAAAGGAAGCCCGAAAGTAGGGGGTCACCTGAGACGCCTTTGTGCGAAGATGTCCTGGATGTTCGGCCAGTAATGAACTTGCCCTGGTAAGATTGCACATCTACTACTACGGTAGAAACTCACTTTGACCGTGTTGTCACTTCGCCATGTCATGGCCCCTTCCCGGTAACGCATGACCGTGAAGACCAAACAGGCAGGTCGACTACCAGGATAAGAACGGTTTATTCCGGGCACGCGTGGAAGTATATATAGCGCTGCCACGGGCCAATGGCATAACAGTTCATAAAACAAACAGTTGATAACAGTATCGTCATGCTTTGGTGACACTGCCGAAGTGATAACAGATTGTATACGTCACCGGATTGAAGTGGCGCCGACGATTTCTGGTTGTTTGAAACGAATCACGCTGTCAGAACAGCTAAGGTGGCAGAATTTTGCAACAATACAAAGCGTATGCCAACGGTCCTACCGCTTATCATACCCAAATTGTATATTTTTACTGTCAAAAGAGCAAAAACCAACCGAAAACAATATTGACCCTCGAGAGCAGTCGGGTCGGGACTCGCAAGCAGTTGGAGCCGGAAAGCAGTAGCAGACGACAACGCGTAGAATAATACGCCAGCGGCGCCACCTCGCTGCAAAAAAAAAAAAGTCGAACACGCGGTTTTGGACCCCCTCAAACGTACAGCGTCTATGGGAAGTTCCATAACTGAGTTTATGTAGTAACGGAGTTCTTGAACGATGGAGAAGTGGTGACGATGTCAATGGGGTCTTGCCACTAAGCACGGGCTACCGCCACAGACTACTACGTGCAGCGCATAAAGAATGAGCAAATTGTTTTGCTTTTTTCTTGACGTGACGACAACTATAGACTAGCAACTAACTAAGAAAATCTTTGAGTATCTGTACTCCATCCTGGTGCTAGTATGGAGATGGCGCCATTGGCGATTGTTACGATTAAAAACGGCGACTCTTCGAGATTTAGGGACAGCGTCAGGAAGCTCAGGCTAAGTCGTCTTGCTCTGCCGCACGGGGGGGGTTAACATTTCTATGGGATGGAAACCAGTTTTTCTGCAATATAATTTTCCGGATAATTGGCAACAATTATTTGAAGCACCAAGACGGCTGAAGTGTGGCTTATTTAATTGCCCGAGCAGTGTCTTTTAGTTTCAGTCTCAGCCAGCCGGACTCCTACGCACCCTAAATCCTCTGCGGAAGATTACTATACACTAATGGAAATAACGTCATATCTTACAAATAGTGTCGCCAGTGTGTACTATAGGAATGTAACCATTCTACTTTCTGCGAGTAATTGATATTCGCTTGTTACGTTACTCGAAAGTTACTCCCGTGTCTTTATATGAAGGTTCCTGAAGGTCGGAAAAATTAACAACTTGGAATGTTATTGCTAAGCCATCTGTGATTGCTGACACATTTAAAGAGAAATATTTTGAGGCACAATCGTGCTGATATGGTAAAAAGGGCAGCACAGGTATCCTCGCCTCGTAGTCAGCAAGCCTGTCATTTGACAGTGCTTTACGTCAGAGAAGACCTTCTGGCCATTAATTTTTGTCTAACCCTAAAAGAAAGCATTGGCCTCTTAGATAACAGGGCAGAAGTGCATCTGAGCGATTACCGTGATTGCACAGGGTGTCTACAAGATAATATTAAAAAAAAAAACTCCGTGTCCTACAGAGGTGGTACTGCTACAAAACACTGGTAAAATTCGATAGCTTTATTTTGTCTGTGTTTTTTTATGGTATGGAAACCAGGGGGGGGGGGGGGGTATGGGATTTGTAAATATAGAGGATATGAGAATAAACTTTTCTGCCCTTATAGTAAGGTAGTCTGGGGTTTGAAGGTTTTTTTTTTGTTTTTTTTTGTTAGCTGTCTGATTGTTAATTGCGAAACAAGCTGTAAGGAGAACATTCTGAAACTAACGAACCACCATTTTTAGTATTCAGTTTTGTGCTCAGATACATTTGGGAATTAAGTAATTTGTACTCTTCTAAGTTTATGTTTTAGCTAATGCTCAGTAACCTAATTACTCATTTATGCATTTTTTGTGTATTTCGTAAATGTGAGGCCCCACTAAACAATCGTGGCCTTGATCTTTTCGTTTGTTTTTGTTTTGTTTTGTTTCAGGAATACAAGGGGCTGTTATCTCGCATGGACAATGTCTACGACGTCTTAGTTCCCATCAAGAAAGGACAGAACCTGGCAATCGTGGTCGAGAACCAAGGACGGATTGCAGACGCATCTGGAAACAACGACACGAAGGTAGGGGATCGAGCAAAGGAAGAGAAGGGAAAATACGTGCATTTCGGTACGGTTGTACGATCCAACGCCATTCTAAGACAGAAAATGTAAAAATGCAGTGAAATATCTAAAAAAAAATTGAGGAAACTTAAGCTTTCTCGCACTCACTAAAAAACAAACATTTCCTGCTTCTTTCTTTTCTTTGTTCCGATACAAAGTGGATAAATTATTCTCTTTTTTTTTTTTTAATTGGCTGTAGTTAACTTTAATCTTTGCGTTTTCAAATGACTGGTTTGTTTAAACCATTCAACTTGCGTGCATAATCGACCCGTTTCAAAAGTCTACCTAGCAACACTGGTGGCTTTCATACTTTCGGCGTCGCTTTCTGCCCGAAGCGCGCGATTGGATCCGAGTCAATGCCGAGCATTGATGCTGCATTCGCGCCGAATACATGCGGACCCGAGTGTGCACCGAACACTGACGCGGTGCTCGTGTCCATCGCGTGTTCACTGTGCACGACCAAATGATGGCGGCCTCAAATAATATCGACGCCGCAGCTACTGGAGGGCACGCACATTTCTTATGTTTTGTGTGACGAGCGAACTAGAGTTGGCCTTTGTATGGTATTTCCTGTTTTGTTAGATTTTGTTTTCGTACTCACTGTTCTCTTCATTAGCTAATATTGTTTAACTTTCTTGTTTTCCCATAATGTACACCCGTAATATGTCAAACTTGCGTGTGTACTCGCATTGCCGCTGCTGGTGAAACTTTTGTGGTGCTACGAAGCCGTCAAGATGACCATGCAGCTTCTTTTCTCAGCCTCCACTATTGTAAAAAATGGTAAATTAACATGAATTGAATTGAAAAGTGTCTATAGCACCGACGCTATTTCACACTAAAAAACGCATTGAACACGACAAAAAAAAGATCAAGAATCATTCGATGATAGTTACGATAGCTGTACCCGCTTGGTGACACACGGTCTCAAAAAAGTCTGTGAATTTAGTTCACTCTGTTTTAGAAAGATTTGAACATATAAAAAAGTAAGAAACAAAAACTAGCAAGTGTAATTTATAGTAAGTGTGACAGCCAAGCAAACAAACGATTTTACATGCCTATTAAAGATGGTGGTTCACTGCCTTAACAATAAAACACAAAACTTTTCTTTTTTTACAGGGCATTATATCGAACGTAACATTGTCCGGAAAGGTTTTGAGTCGGTGGTCGATGATGCCCATCCCGCTGAGCGAATTATCCGGCCTTCAGAGCATCGACTCTAACGTCAATTCTTCACACCAACAAACGGAAGGCATAGGGGCCTACATCGCAGACTTTCCCGGACCAGAAGGCGAAGTCTTGGACACATTTCTCCAGGTAGACGGATGGAAAAAGGTGAGCAGTTTGATTTTACTGACGATGTTTGGTTACGGATCCTCTGCTGAGTTTTCTGAAGAGTCGTCCCGTGACGTCATTGTGCGCAAGCGCAGTGGCGCCGCTAGGCCATCCGGCACCCGGGGCCCTTATGTCTGTCGTAGAACCCTCCCCCCCCCCCCCCCCTTTTTTTTTTCGGCCAATTACGTCAAAGTTTCACCATGACGTCACATGACACTGTGGTGTTAAGTTAAACCGCGACGTCACGTGACATTATGGTCTCACGATGTCATGTATAAAAAGCTCGGTCCACGTTGATGACGAGATGTGGTTTAACTAAGAAAAGTTCGACGGATTTATGGTTCTTTTTTTTTTTCCCCCGACGTGCATTGCTTGTTTTTGTTCTCTAAACGAAAATGTTAATATTATTTTTCGGTTACTGTATTTTTACAAATTAAGCTGACCCCTTTATGCTTCGGTGATCTGTGAGGTATTCACCGCGTGCCCGCAATTCGTGTTAAAGCCTTTATTATAGTGACACATAAGCTTGGTAACGTATCGTGCAGAGAATTACCCCAGGTTCCCGAAGATGGTGGAATCATCGCATTAAAATTTTAACAAATGCGCTTAGCGGTGTAAAAAAAAAAATTGTAAAATGCACGACAACTGGTTTTCTCAACCCCCCTTTAGGGATCAAACACCTTCTAGAAACTACAGCCTGCCAGCCCGCTCTGTGACGTCACTGTAGCTAGGCCAGCGAGCGGAAAAGCGACAGGCGGCTGGGCACTGGTCTCCGCTGTGCCGACGCGCTAACAGGGGGCGGTATGTAGCTTTTATTGGAGATACTGCACAAATGTCACTTACCCGTGCGTGACGACGACGTAACCAATCGAATTAGAGTATTTTAAGATTAACTCATATAACAACTCTAACTTCTACAGTTCGTCTATTAAGTTACGTCGACTGAAAACACTAATGATTAACTTTTAGTGACTACACCCCTTCCACAATTATTTCACTTAATCTCCCTTGTAAAACCAAAGCGCTGGACTGCAATCACAAATATTTTGATTAGAAACATATTTTTTTTTTATGGCCATGGTTACCACACGATTAGGAGATATGTGAAATAGTATTTAAAGCTTAGCGCCTTCCAGGTGGTTTCCTGGTAGATGACATAAAAGTAACAGCACGTTCTCGATTTCCCACCAAAAGTTGGATGGACACTTTTGTATTGAAATATACAAATATAAGTGACGGCTTGCTAATTAAGGAGTCATTTGTTTTATTAAAAAAGACAGGTAGTTTTAATAAAGTGAAACAAGGAAATGCCACACAAAATGTGACTGACTGACTAGGTGTCAGAAGGCATGTAATAAATGAACGTGAGAAAATGTTTAGTTCGTCTCGTGAAACAAGTTCCTTTTTGCCTCCGTTTCGGGTTTTAGTATGTCGGTCTACAGAGATGTGGTTCCTCCACATTTTATTTTTAAAACAACGCTAACTTTTTGACACAGCAGACCTTGCAACCTGCCTAAGGCTTTCTGGCTGGGGCAGACCTTGCGTCCTGCCTAAGGCACAATTTTTTTACTGCATGCATCGTGAGAAAGTGTTTTTTTTTTGTTTTTTGTTTTTTTTACAGACACAGAGGCGAAGTATTCAGTTATGTAGGTCAGAATAGGAGTCCTCGACCACAGCGCTGCTAAATCATAGTCGGTGATGTCAAATACAAAAGCTAGAACACAAAGCAGAATACTCTGCGCAGGTGAATCGCATGCTGAAATCAACAAAGTATTAAAAACAATTTGAAAGTCGTACCTCATTCTAAAAATAGCTACTATCCCTCCTTGAGAATACAAAAAAAAAAAAAAAAAAAAGCTGAGTACAAGAGTGCAAGGATAAAGCAAATACATGCCAACATCCCTTCAAAGAGCTCGAAACGTGACTTACTTTCTCCGGAATTGCCTTATTGAACACGCCGTAGCTCGTCGGTTGGGAAGGAGAATATGTGAATCCTCGCTTCTCCGGCATACTTTTCCCGACACCACGGCACACAACGCAACACATAAAGCATTGATCCTCACATTCGCAAACACGAAAACATTTGAGATTCTGGTCGACTGACGCAGTGAATACGCAGGCGTCCTGTCTCCGCATTCCCACGGCTTTCTATACGTTGCCCGATTGCGCGCCCTAATGTCTGGCTTTTCTTCGCTTGCGAGACGCCAGCCGTCTCTGAAATTGCGTCGTCACGTGGCGAAACTTCTTCTTTTATTATTTTTTACTGAATTTGCCGACAGCATATAACAATTCCATCTTTGACGCCTCGGACCAAAGGCAACGGAGATGAGTCATGACGGAGCATTAAAAAAGAAAAACAAAAAAAGAAGTTTCCCGGGTTAATTGGAGTGCTTTGTCAGGATCGTCGCAGACCGCCTCGTGATGAAAACCCACTGCCCTCGCTTGGCCTAGGATCAGTGGCATAGCCAACGCAACCAAACGGAGCGCGCAGGCTCTAGTTTCTATGGAACCTGTTGTGGAAGCCCGGCTGTCAACCGAGCACGCCCTGACTGGCGCAACAACCGACAGATGGCGGCAGTGGCCCCGGCCGCTCGCGCCCAGAGCAGACGACCTGCAGATGAAATAATACGACGAACCATCGCTTGTATTTGATTTGTGTCCATGTATTGTTTTAACGGGAACGAGAAAGTAATCAAGCATTGACCATTACAGAAGGGAAAAAACGCGCGACGGTAATACAGCAATACCAATAATTCCAAAAGCGCGTCTTCCTTTGGCGCGACCGCCTAGTTGACATAAGCCGGCAGATGGCCGCGCTGCCGCCATCTGCCGGTTGTAGTGGGGTGCGCGGTGGGCATTCAAACGCTGTAGGCAACGTTACTAAAACACTCAGTTGGGAAACTCGCAGTCGAAACCTGGGCCGCTGACGTCCACCGAGACCGAGCTAAATACGACAACAGCGCCACTCTTTATCATTTGTCTGTACTGTGGTCACCTTGAGCTTTTAGAAAGCATGTTTTTGCGTAAAAACAAGCGGAAAAGACTCTTTTTGTATGGAATTTATTGGAGTTTAGTACCAAATGATGGGCGCGTGATGTTTTTATCATCTTTAGTTCGCAAGGTTTTGCGGAACAATTAATATTGTTTTCATTCAACCATGCCTCAGCGGGCCTTTCAGGTAGCACGTCCTGACCTAGGTGCATTTTAACGTCAGTAGTTGACCGCGGCGCGTCCGCCGGGGAGGCGGGGGTGGCACCGCTAAGTTATGTTTTTTCGTTACCTCCGTCCCTGGATCTTTGTAGCGTACATGTTCCCATTGTATACCGGTGTGATTTACGTCTTGCAGTTTACAGTGTCAATAAACTTTTCTTTAAACCCTGTAACCTTTTCCACTGTATCTGTTCTTAAGCCATAATAGAAGTCACGTGCAGTTCTTCGAGTGGCCGCTGCGGGAGAAATGGTTATGGAAATGGTGTTGTGTTCGTCATTAGCTCGGTGCTCGGAGACAGATTGGGGCCACTTTTTCAAAGCTGTCTCTATGGGAGTTTCCCAACTGAGTGTTTTAGTAACGTTGGCTGTAGGTAAAAAAAGAAATAATATATATATATATATATATACATATATATATATATATATATATATATATATATATATATATATATATATAATTAAGTAAAAAAAACAACAAGAGCAACAGTTTTCGAGTTTTTTTTTTATTATTATTAATTCGTACGCGGTGTTTCTACCACCATCGGGAACCTCTGTGGCAAATTATAACGCGTTACGTTACCGAGACGATTTAGTAGGTCAATTTGAAGGCGTCACCCGGATTTGGGGGCACGCGGTACGTTCAACGCTTGTATGTTCCTTTTTTTGTTATTCCTTTTGTGGGCATAAGACGAATATTTGCAAGTGCTCAAGTTTAGCAGTTTTCCGTCATGGGGACTTTTGAACATACCGAAGATTTTCTGTTGAACTGGAGCGATGGCAAGATAATCGTAGACTGCAAAGCCCGTTTCACTGTAAGTCCGACCACAGCTGACGCTAAGAAGCGGCGGATCCAATCAATCATCTCCGAAAGTGCGTCGTCACGGGTGCTCGTTGTCTTTGTGGATTTGCTGTCAGCTCCTAAACGAATCACGCACAGAAAAAAACAAATCGCAGGCTCGTGGCGCATTTACTGCGCGTGATTGGTTTAGTTCGTGACAGCAAACGAACAGAGACTAGAACCACCATGACGGTGCACTTTTGAGCACCGCTTGATTGGGTTCATCGAATCGTAACGTCATCTGCGGCTGAACTTAATGCGGAGGCGGAGAGCAAGTCGTCAGCTTCTTGAGCACGAGTTGCGGTGACGTCAAAAAGACGCAGAGCAGGAAGGATAGTGGCTAGACCTCAAAGCAAGTTGCCTCGAGGTCTACCCACCATCCTTCCTTCAGAACCAATCAGAGCTCGGCGTCTCTCTGACGTCACCACTACCGTTACAAAAGCAGCGGACGATTTGCACTGCGCATAGCTTCGTTCGATTTCCGGGGGCACCTCCTGCACTTGTGCAGAAAAGTGTAGGGCAGTGTACTTCCGACACGTGTATTGAGATACGACCGGAAGTACGCCGCCCTACACTTTTCTGCACCCGTGCAGGAGGTGCAGCAGGTAAAGCGCCGTTCACACCTATGCAACCGAGCAAGACCGAGAGAGACCAGCTCCACTGCAGCGGAGCTGGTCCTAAGAAGTCGCAAGAGGCTTAAAGACCGGTCTGGTCTCTCTCAGTCTTACTCGGTGGCATATGTGTGAGCGGCGCTTAAATCTAACATATACATGTATTGTGAAACGGAAGATCGTAAGTCAGTGTGATACTTTCTTTGTTAGTGTCGATCTCTCTGTCGTTTCAGGGCTTCGCCTTTTTGAACAGTTTCAATCTGGGCCGCTACTGGCCGGCGATGGGCCCGCAGATGACCCTCTACGTACCCTCGGTCTTGTTCCAAGAGCGCAACCGTCTTCTGCTTCTGGAGTTGGAACGCGCGCCCTGCGGTCTCTCTGAGAATTGCGTCGCCGAGTTTGTGAAGACACCCGTGATCAACGGCGCGGTGCCGGACAGACCGTGACCGGTGCCCGAAGACGCGTGACTCAGTTCAACGCTGGGAATTCATTATATTGGCCGACAGCTCGAGGAACGCTGGGCGTGTTCTATTATCTCTAACACGCGTCTGTCTTCGCGATTGGTTCTGCTGTGTTGTCATCGGCTAACGCTGCATTCTGATTGACTGCCGGCGATAATTAGGTTTCCGGGAAGTCGCCACGCTCCACGTTTCTTAAGTTTTCAGTGACCATATAGCCCAAGTCGACTCTCTGATGTCACGCCACTGCGCATGCGCAGACGCAGACGTTTCACACATTTACATGTAGCGCGAGCGGACAGGAGCATGAAAGCCACAGGAAAAGAGCTACTCATGGTTCTTCGGGGATATAAACTGGTATACTTCGTTTGTGGATAACGAGGATATAAAAATTCCCAGTTGTGAGTAGGGCTCGTACCTGTCCCTTTCATGTTCCTGCATATCCTCACGAGCTATTCTGAGGACATGTACCGACTAGTGCCCGGCATTTGATTTATAATACTTTAGGTTGTAATTTTTCTTATATATAGCTAATATGTGCGTCTCTTTTTCATTTTTTTGTTTTATGATTATATATTCAAAAACTCACTTTTTCGAATAAAGACGATTAAAAGTGAGTGCCTGGGAACGTTGAAATGAACGTGGTAATTTCAGAAAGTATAAAAATCCAAATGTCACACAGAGGGCTTCAATTTTTGATTGCGTCGCAAAAGCCAAATCAACCCCGTCAAGTTTTTTTTGTTTTTTTTTTCGTAGTTTCGCAGAGAGGCCGGCGAGAAAGACTGTGTGCAAAGGCACCTTGATGATTTAGGAATATGCCTGCCCTAATCAGGTAGAAAAAAAAAACATTTTTTTAGGTTCAGTGTCCCCTTTAGTGACATTCTTAATGCACCACGTCAATTAGCATAAAACGCTCGCAAAACACTTCACATTTGCACGCCTACCTCAGACCCTAAGGTCTTCAGAATTTCCGTGCTTGGGGCCAAGCCTTAATATTATTTTCTAAATTTCCATATCAATTTTTTTTAACGGCTTTTATTTTTCTTTTTCCGGAGGCTTCATAGCGACTTACTCTGCGGAAATGGCCCACACCTCTCTCGGCTTTTTCATTCTTTCTCTGTACCTCAACACACAAGAGAACCAGTGTGTGGAAACTCCAGTCTCCAATCCAGCAAAACACCCAACTCACTCAATATACATGCTCATTTTATTTTACTACAAGTCAGTTTAATCAAACGAAACACACTTTTTTTTTTTCGTATAAGTCAACATCCCTTTTGTTTTCGCTTTCCTCGATTGACACTGATGTTGCGGGCGCTGAAGGAGAATCTCGTCAGTTGAGTAACTTTTCCGACCGATAAAAACGGTTGACCGATAAAAACATAAAAGGGTGGGATCACGAGGCTGTTACACGGTCTCAGACAATTAACCTTGCAGTCTATCTCCCTGTAAAACGTATTGCCATGGAAACCGTATCACCAGGATCGCCATGTGCGCGAGAGCTGCAGTCAATTGCGATGGACTCAGCAAAGAGTTGGGTTGTCGCCGCTGCCTGTTGTTGGATCAACGTATTTTCCAACGCCGTATTTCGGTCGACGGCGGTGCTGTTTGTGAACATGGTCCAATCGCTCGGCATGACGAGAGAGGAGGCTTCTTGGCCAATCTCAGTGATGGGAATATCTTACTGCCTTTCAGGTTCGTGGTGCCCTTCCCCTCGGTAATATGAATAACAATTCAGTTTTGTGTATGCTTAGGCCGCGGGTATTCGCCTCGAGATCGAACCGTGTCGCCACCGTGCGGCCAAAATCGGAAACGCGCGAAAGCGGGGATACCGCCGTGCGTCGTCTGCTACGGGCACACTCAGAAGCATGGATCTCGACGACGCAAGCCCGTTTCAGGCTGAGCTTGACATTCCTTATTAAATGTTTTATGTTTTTGTTGCCGTTCCTTCTTACTAAAGGTTGTGTTGTATCGTTTCCCATGGAAAAAAAATCAGCAAAGCGATTATTATTAAGTCGGAAGCTTCCATAATCTTAGTGTGTTGGTTTGTATACAATCGCTGGTACCACATATTTTTGTTATCTCGCACAAACCGTGGCTTTCATAAAGCACTGAATCTTGAGTGGGTCTGTGGTTTGAGTAGAAAATTAACCGGGCTGATCGCTATCCTTTAATAGATTAATCAATCAATGAATTCGTATGTTGATTTTTTGCCGGTCATAATGCGTGAAAGAGGTTAAAACTACACATTTTTTTACTGGTTTTACTATGCCATAAATGGCCTTTTGCATTCCCATCCTAAACTTTACATTGTGAGTCCTACATAAATATGAACGCGGGAATTAAGCCTGTTAAAATGAAGTATTTTTTTAGTTATTATTTATATTTAAACAGTGTAATCACCCTCGGCGAAATGACAAGCACGCTGAAGTGGTTCACCGGGCAAGCCTGTGCCACAAAAGAAATAAAGACGTAAAAAATATTAAAGCAGGCATTTTTGACTCCTTGTTGACTTTCTCCAGCACAAGATTCCAATTAACCGGCAAAAAAAAATTGAAATTAAAGCATTACTTGAATAATCTGAGAGTTAATCGATGAACTGCCCAGTCCCGATATACGTTAGGTGAGGGCGGAGGGTGATCGGAAAGTCTCGTGAAGGTCGCTAGCCATCATCAGTAAAAGAGTATCGCTGCGCGCGCGCATGCGGCCGATGATGTCTCTTTCGTGGTGCGCGTCGTTTGTTTGGGTTGCAAAGTGTACTGTGTTTGAATACAAGACTATGTAGGAGCAGAGGCTCGGTAAATCACGCTCTACATATTTACTTACAATATTTACACTGTCTTTTTTGACTACCTCATCGAGGGGCCCTTCGCCATTCAAGCGCTAGATCGCTACCGAGAGCTACCGCTACAAATATTTAGCCAGAAATTTGTAGTATTAGCCTCTTGACATCCGCGGCCCTCACCAAGAAAATTGAAGCGGGTGAACAAACACTGCCGAGAAAAGCATTTAATAACAGGAACATTGCTGCGTTCCTCGGTCACACTTGTTTATTACAGTCACGGCAGATATATTAGAAGAGTTTGTTTCACTTGTTTCAGTTGTTCTATCAGCCGTGCAGTTTGCAGAATTTAACTGGAAGAGACCCTCTCTCCTCATCGCAACGCAGTAGATTTGCTCAGACTCCAAAAAAACTTACAGATACTATCGCACAGTAAAGGGCAGAGGAACTAAATAGCATGGTAATTTCCAATACAGCGCTAACTTATCTTCATTCTAAATATGTATATTGCTGCAAAAGCTATAGAAGTTAAAAAATCATAGAAGCTGCGATTTCACAGCTTCTATGATTATGTTATCTGGGTTGGAATTTATTATTGTTTTTAATTCCCACGTTGATGAACCGATACATCCATTTTAAAAGAAACAAATATTTAACATAAATATTCCAGTTCAGCTGGAGACAGGCATCAGTCGTGGTGATCCATGCTTTCCAACGTCTGCGTAGAGCAGACGACGCACCCACAGAAGCGATTATATAAGTTTAGGCCGCACGCTGGCAACACGATTTGATCTTCACTGAAGCACCGAACAGTACCGCATCCTTTTCCGCAAGAATTGTTTTCCCACCGATAGTATGCGACAAAATAAACGCAAGAATCTACGCCGTCTCGCGCGCGAACGTGGAGAGCCTATGGGGCGGCGGTTCTCGTATCCCCGCTTTGATGATGATGATAGCGCGACCGTAGCGCCACCTCTAGGTCGATCTCGAGGCCAATAGCTAATATGCTCCAAATGGCCTCCGCTGTAGATGAGATATTTAGCCCGTGCAATACCACCGCTAGACTGGGGTCTTTAACGTGCTCCACGCAGTAGCGACTACACGACAGTATACGGTATGATGCTCCTTCAGATTGAAGCAGGTAGGGGTTCGGATCGAACCCAGGTGCCCTGGGATGCGCAGTGCGAGCTTTCGCTCCAACTGTTCCGAGCCGCATTGCGCTAACACATTGGGTCAACAATTCCCCTATTTTTTTTTTTTTTTGTGTGTGAAAAAATGCAACAATTTATAAGATACTTTTGAACTACGATGGAGAAATTCCAGATTGACCATTTCGAATCCGGGACACAATAGGTGTCACGCCACATCGCAGAATAAGGTGGTGGTGCTGGAGTTATAATCGTGTTTAAATTCTTTGTTGTTTCAACAACAGTCGCGCTATTACTAAACAAGCAAAAAAAAAAAAAGGATTACAGCCGTTTAATTTGAGGTAGTGGTTACAAACAGTGGTTAAACGAGTTAAACATTCATATATAAGCAAAACTGCGCATGCAGCATAGAAAAGCTGCACCAAGATTAACGACAATTATTCACGTTATAAGAACAGGAACAAAGCAAGCAAAGCAAAAGGGTAATATCGCAAGTATAGCATTGCCCTCGTAAGGAATGGACAAAAGGTGACTGACGGTGAAGCTGTGCCGCTCATTTTCAGCGCCCGTGGCGGGAAATTTGGCAAAGCACGTAGCCATTTGGAAGCTGACAGTGTGCGCAAGCCTGGTGGCCTCTGTCTCTCTCGCTGCCTGCTTCTTCGGAAACAGCATGCCTTTTCTCGTTGTATTCTTGGGAATCCTACACGGTACGTAGCAGGAAACAGGAACAGTTGCTGCAATATTTTTAAAACAGGATGACGTGCCGGGTGAATTTAATGTCCGCCGGTGTTGATGCTAAGAATGCCCGCTGCATGTCTTGGTTTCAGTGTGCACTCCCAGAAATCTGGATCATGTACTTTGCCGCAAGGCGCATAAGAGAGCAAATCCTTGCAGTGAACGTGGTGCCACTGAGACAAAATATGCTGAGATATATAAAGACATAGTTGAACGTAAGCGCGTTGGTTTTCAAAAAGTTGTCACAGAAAGAGTCCTCGTCCGTTATTTTTCTTTATTCTTTCTGTAACGAGTTAAAAAGGGCAATCTGCGTTTGACCGTCCTTCGCGTCACAGCGAAGACTTTCAACGCGTTAGCATTAGTACCCACACGACAGGAAACATCAGACGGCGTCCGTCTGCGGACAAAACAGTGGAAAGGGAAGCGTACCGCCTAGAGAAGACGAGAGTAGTGAAGGTCAAAGGCGAGAGGGGAGGTGACGTCACAGGGCGGAAGCCAATGAGCGTGCGGATGCTGGGGCGACTCTGAACTTGCGGCAGCGTCAGGCACTGGATGCCACTGCCAAGCGGTGCAAGGCGGGTGAACGAGACAGAGGAGCGGAAGCAGCGCCTAGCTCGGCTGGACGAAATGCGGCGCAAGAAGCGGCAAGCCGACGCGGGTCGAGCTGAGTGCGACAGAAGCCGAGAAACAATTAAAGGAAGATCCATTGGTGGATCCTTAAGGAATGTGTTACCATGAACATTGGGAAACGTCACACACGTCCCGCTTTGGGAACGGCTAACACTGACCGCGGAACGAAGCCAAAAAGAGGAAGCAAAAAATAGAGGAACCAGAAAATATACCCAAAAGGGAAAGCCAAAGCAGAAAAGTGAAGGGGTCATGTCTGCGTTTCCTAAAGAGGGACGTGTTAGCATATCCCGAGGGTCATGCTGACGAATTTCCTAAAGATTCACCGATGGATCTTCCTTTAATTTCTAGCTCTAAACGTTTTTCCAGCTTTGGCCTTTGTCAAGCCTCCTCTGCGGATTGCAGCGATTGGCTGGGGAACGTAGACACTCTAGATTTTTTTTTTTTAGAGTTTAGTAAATGACATCTTAAGAAATGCTGGGGATGCCGACTCCGGAGCACCTTATTATCGCTCCCCATCTAATGAAATTTATACTTAAGACTAAAACAGGGGGTCACCAAACCTTTTGACTAAGGGGCAGGATTAGCGATCCTGCCCCATAGTGCTAACTGCTAGTGAGAATGCGAAAACTAATGTTGACAATTTGCAATAGTTGTGACAGGGGACACTAAGCGCAATGTACACCAGAATGCACCGGGATTTTAACATTGTTACACAGACATGAAGCAGGGGACTAGTAATGGTAATGCTAGTGAGGACAATGTTCAATTAATAATATGACGAGAAGATGCTCGTTACGATGCAATTTTTCTCGTTCTTTCTGGTATTTTAGTTAACGCATTTAGAGCACGCTGCGCCGCCGTTTCTTCACGCACACTTCCATTTTGCGCTGCTATGTGGAGAGCAAGTCGTCTGCTTCTTTTGCAGGCGTTGTGGTGACGTCAGAACGCCGAGCACTGATTGGCCCTGACCGAAGGATAGTGGATAGACCTCAAAGCTGGCTGCCTTGAGGTCTACCCGCTACCCTTCATTCAGAACCAATCAGAGCTCGGTGCTCTGATGTCACCACAACCCCTGCAAACGAAGCAGACGACCTTGCGCTCCTCGCATAGCAGCGGGTCTGCTAGAACCGGGCCGCAGGCCGGACTTCAGTGGAAAGACCGCGGCCGGATATTGCCCGGGGGCGGGGTTTCGAGAACCCTGGACTGACCAGATAACGGAGCACAAACCGTGAATAAGTAAGACCCCGCCCTGCGTTCCTTGTCATACTCGCGATTAATTTGTCAACGCGCAAAACGTAAACGTAAATAATTCAAATGTCCTGATAGGCTTCGATTGAAATAGTTCCGTGACTAATTCTTTTTGTTTCTCCCAACGTGCCGCAAGAAAATAATGCCATACCCCTTTTAATACCCTATATCTACACGGGCGCTCTCAATCGCGATTGGCCGGAGTTACACGGCGGCGCCAACTGTCATCTAGCCGCTAATGACAGTTGAGTTCAAATGAGCTCCCCTACCTCAGTTCAACTGAACGGACTTTCCCAACGGAGGTAAAATGGCGCCTGTCTGCGGGACCGCTGCGGCCAACCATCGTTTGCGAGGCACTTACTGTTTCGGAATGCAGGGGGAGCCGTCTCAAAAGAATCGTAGCAGCAAAATATCGGGGAAGGAATAGGTTCAGGCGTCCGAGCTGTCGCTAAAACGATCCCGGCTAGTCGGCAAGCCACCAAACGAGCGAAGGTGGCGGCGGGACCAGCTGTGTGAATGGACAAACAGTAATGGGTGCACCCATCGTAGCGGGCGGTAGCTTGCACCACCTAGCCTAAAATATGCGCAACTTAGCCCTGAATATGCTTTGGTACTCGTGTAAATGCCGCTGAAAAGCAACAAGGTATTGAACATAATGTACAATATACTTATAATACATAAAAGGTGTGTCCCCGAGTAAGTTACTTTAACAATTAGACTGATCTTGTGGCACAAAAACTAGTTTCGTTTTGGCTTCAACTGGGTTCTAGAGAGCCGTGTAGCACCATCTCAGTTCAGTTCAGTTCAATCACAGCTGAGGCTGATAACTGGGATTGAACTCAACGACGGTTCAAAGTGCCCGTGTAACTAGGGTATTATACCCTCCCCAACTTTCCCGTGACGTCGTTACTTCCAAACCGCACTTGATACGCAGATTGGACAAAAGTGAACGTGCACTAGGACCAGGGCCGGCTGTACAGCACCAAACGCTCTTGGCGAACTCCAGCCGGTACTCCCCCCCCCCCCCCCCCCCCCTTTCCGTTTTTTTTTTTTATACGTCCCTATTTACTAGGCACGACACCACGTTGTTAGTAAACAATTGAGTAGTGGCCCAGCACGAGTGTTTTTTCGGACGAGAATCGCATTCCAAAAATGAACGGAGTCATGTCGGGTGTCGCGCTCAAATATATCAAAACGATTAGTCAAAAGGGGGGCGCCGCTGATGGCGCTGTGGGCGACCGTCCAGGTCAGGGCCGACCCCTGTAGGGTCAGCCCTGACAGGAATGCGAAGCCCATCTCAGCCTCTTGTGCGATGGTGACTCTCATGGAGCGGAAATGCGGCGAAAGACTGACGAACTTCACAGGGTAGTACGTTGAACACGGGGAGTCAGCAAACACCGTTCTGTCGCAGCGCGAAGAACGGTCGGCCTCGGAGGACACTCGTCGCCTGTTCGGAGCGCATGTTCGCTTTATGCGGTTCAGCCGCCCACACGAATAAGCACATTTATATACCGTATCATCGGGTTCCCAATTTTCCGGTATTTATTTATTTCCGAACCTGGGGGATTTTGTTTTGGGTTTTATAGTCTCCACAGATTCGATGGTTTTCAGCGCCTATTTTCGGCATCCGATAAAAATCGGCGTTTTTCAGGGATTATTTTTGAAGAAAGCAGAAAAGACCATGCGATTTTTAAACTTCCAAGTAACGTGCGCCTTACCCGAATACCTTGAGAACGTCCCGGTACGGATAAGAGAACAAAACCAGATAAGCGCTGTGGTTCCCGTAGAAAGCATGCCGTCCCGCGCGGACACTCGAGCGCTGGCTCTTTTCCCGGTCAACGCAAACTTAAGCTACCAATAAAAAATTAAGAAAAAAATATTTTCGCCTTATAGCTTGTGTTTGATCATTCAATGACATCTTCAAACTGGGGTCTTCGGTTTTCACCGATTTTCATAAAGGACGAAAACACGGAACCCTACGTATCACTTGCGCGCCGTCCCCGTGCATACCATATTTTCGATTCAAGTTTGTTCTTGTGGAATTCTCATACCCGGGAGGGTTTCTGCAGAACGCAGTTAGTGGCGTACCACTCGCCCTGTGGGGGAATGTCGTCACACACGCAACCTCGGAGTGTAGTGTCAACCCTTCCCTGCACTATCGACCTTTCCGGCGCTTATCACCCGGGCGAACTATGCTGAGTCACTGAGCTGTCTACACATGCGCAGCGGCTGATATACTGCACAACAGAGCAACAGCGCATGCTCAGAAGGCGTTCCACAGCCCAGCGGACAAAGATGGCAACGCAGGGAAGGCGATTTTTGGAAAGCTGCACACACGACGACAGCTTAAGAAATCCGGGACGTGGCTTCTTATCTGCACACTTCCTACCCTATTCGTTTGATACCACAGCCATATAGATCTTTGCCAGTACGGCCTCTGGGCTCCGCCATCGTGCTGCTGGTGTGGGTAGATCGTCTGATACTGAAGCATTGCTGAAGCCGTGGGTACGCCTCAGAAATGCTTGACTATCAGACGGTCTACCCACACCAGCAGCAAGATGGCTGCGCCCAGAGGCCGTACTCGGAAACGCCACGAGCGATAATAAGATCCTCGGAACCATAAAACCATAGTCGTGACTTGTCACGGCCTGCGTTTCTTAAACTGTTAGTGACTCTAGAGCTGCTCCTACTGATCTGCATTCGTCACTGATCGACCGGTTATCTAATGTGCCTTTTTCACCACACTGATTTTGTCCCTTTCTCCGCAGGCACAAGCTTGGGCTTCCTTTTGCTCTTTAACACAGTCATTGGTCAGCATTTTTCGCGCTATCGGGCCATTGCTTCGGGGATAGCCAGTTCAGGATATACCATTGGAGGCCTCATCTTTCCATCACTGTTTCAAGTTTTGTTTGACGAGTACGGAACGAGAGGAGGGCTCTTACTGTGTGGTGGTATCGCATCCCACGCACTGGGTGGCGCCCTTCTTTATAGGCTGCCACCGGGAGCAAATAAGCATTTGCCGAGTACAATGAATGGAACTTCTACTAAAAATGGTGGTACGCGCAAAACAAAGGCAGATAACTTTAGAAGAGATATATCATGCGCCGAAGAAATCGAGCATTCCAGACCTGACGACTATTCAGGGAGCGAAGAAATGGACGACGAGGATATTCAGCAGAATTCGCGAGGAAGTCGTTATTCCCTCAACAAAACAATACAGGCACTTTCTGACAATATGCCCTCAGAGAAGTCAAACATCCTAGTCTCGTGGTTCAGAAGAAATGAAAGAAATATTTTTAAGATCACCCTGCCCTCGTTTTTTAGACTTCCGATGTTCTACTTGATTGCTCTCTCCTACGCGCAAATCGTTTTCAACATGTCAACATACCTGACGGTCATCGTGGACTTTGCAACGGACAGGGATGTTTCCAAGTGGGATGCAGTTCTTCTCGCGATTTACGGAGTGGCAGATGTGGCATCCAGGTTCGGGTCTGGTTGGATCTCGGACAAGAAATATATAAAGAGGAGCGCCGTGATGAGTGTGCACTTTTTTCTCTGGTCGGCGTCGTATTTTATGTTGGCTTCCGCCAAACACTACCCTTTTCATGTCGTGTCGGCCATCACCGCTGGCTGGAGCAACGGCGCCACTTCGATGCTGGTCCCCGTTCTTGTGATGGAACTTGTTGACGTCCAGCAATTCAGTTTCTGCTTCGGGCTTGTAACACTCATCATCGTACTACCTTTCTGCCTCAGGCCCGTGATGATCGGTGAGTAAGTGTCATTTGTCTGCAATCTAATCTGAGAAATTCGAAAGCTGATTTAAGAGAGCTGCACATTAACGTCTTCAAACATCAACAACCTTAAACCTTGAGCTTAGCACATAAGATATGTTTGCGGTGCTGACAGCTACATCACACTCCAAATAATCTTTTAGCCGCCGATGGAACAATTGATAGAAAAGTAATAAAACTGATTGGACTTATTCTATGCAAAGTGTTTGTACATCCCCATTAAACAGATAGACATCGTTTTCTATGACAAATTTGCAAACAAGCGTATCAGGCGGTGCGGTATCCGTTAAGATTTTAATTTATATTGTGAACACAGGATTGATGGCGGGTATAGTCACAAGATTCTAGAAAAACGCAGGGCTCTGCTTATCACGTCCAAGTTTCTTGGTTCGTGATTGGTTCTTTGGCCTTCGTGTATCGGCTAATGCCGCAATCCCATTGGCTGAGGAGCGCTAATGAGATGGTCTGGACTTGCCACACCCTGTGTTTGTTAAGGAGTCTGACTACAAGGAGCGCAAGCTCGCCTGCTTCTTGCGCAGAAGGTTGCGGTGACGCCAGAACACCGAGCTTTGATTGGCTCGATTTGAAGGATTGTGGGTACACCTCAGGGCAGCTGGCATTGACATCTAGCCACTATTCACCCAATCAGAACCAATCAGAACGCGGCGCGCGCTGACGTCACCGCAACCCCCGCTCAAGAAGCAGACGAATTTGCGCTCCGTATAGGTTTTCTTCAATCCTGGTTGTGCGTAAGATGCCTAAAAATCGCCAAAATAATGAGAAAGCGAGAAAACATGTTCACGAAGAGCTACACAGCCACATGTTACTTCTGATTACATTGTTACACTTGGCGTTTTGGGAGAACTACATGCCTATCACCTGAGGATAGCGTTATTTTTCCTTTAAACTGGAAAATAAACCTGATTGCAAAACCTTTGTTAATACGGATGTAAGATAATATTATGCGCCATCATAGCTTCTCTACTGTGTGATATGACGGCTCGTGACGGCACTAATTGCTACTATGCCTTCCAGGTTTTTTTAGAGACACACTGGGAGACTACCAAGGCATGTTCATATTACTGGGAGCCTGTTTAAGTCTAAGCTCATTCGTCTGGATGTGGGTCTTTGTTCGAGAACGACGACAAGAACAGGACTTGCAGAAAATCAATAAAGTAATCGCATAAAACGATGTCATCAAAAATCATCTTCAGCCGTTCGTTTGACTTGTGCTGTTACTCTTCGTGGAAGATCCTTCATACATTCATATAAAAAGTTTTTATAACGTCATTATCCTCTCAGTTTGAAAACGAAACCATAGTACACGATGACAAGAACTTTTCAACTCAGCTGGTTTTGAGAAACAATCATCCTAACCTCGTATACGTACATTAAACCTGCCAAAGCTTTTATTTATTGTTTCAGGTTTTGGGGACATTACACGAGTATTAGGACTGAGATCAGTAAATGATGATTCGGGTGGTCATTCTTTTGAGACTAAAACAGAGGTCCGGAGCCATTAATTATATGTTTAATGAGACATGAACCCTTTAGCGTAATGCAGCAGTGCATCGCGCAGGAGCTCAGCTCGTGCTTCGGATTTTCTGACGCTCTTCATAGCAGTACCTTTCTGCATAGACCTTCGATGTACGGTAAGTCATCCCCATTTGCCTACAATCAAATCTGAGACCTGCAAAAAAAAAAAAAAAAAGAACAGAAGTGCACTGCGACGCCTTTAGAGATCAGTCAACTAAAGCTCTGAGCTTAGGACATAACTATAGTGTTGGGAGCGCATGTCCGATGGTCCTGTCTACCACGTCCTCAAAAGGGCTCCCTCAATTTATTCCTGATTGCGTAAAAGAAAAGTCATGCTATGCGGAGCGCAAGTCCGTCTGCTTCTTGCACAGGGGTTCAATGATGTCCAAGTGCCGAGCTCTTATTGGCGGGTTAAAAAAAAAGAATAGTGGATAGACATCCAGGCATCTAGCATTGAGGTCTACCCACTATTAATCAAGGCCAATAAGAGCTTGGCGTCGTTCGGACGTCACCACAACTCCTTCGCAAGAAGCAGACAACTTATTCTCCTGGGATCCTGGCGATGGTGCAGCAGCGGAAGCGTATGCGGCAGATGTCTGTTCTGCTGCAGGTCGCTTTGCATCCAGACAATCGGTGGAAACCAAAGTAGACAGTCGATGGAATGCCGCGACGTCGGCGTCCCTCGTGTCCGCTCGCCTTCTTCGCCAACATCTCCACGACCAACCGCCAGGACCGTGACATTCGACAGCGTGACACACCAGCTCCTGTGACGCAATTTGTTGCTGCTTAGCAAACACGTTCGATCTATGGGCGGGATAGGGCGGCAAACACAGCGGTCAAAGGGGAGTTATTCCGGCACCGTGGACATGACATATCTGCGGCACTGACAGCAACTAGAAAAGTTGACGAACCACAGCTCGACAATGTCAATGCAATGTGTCTATGCGTCCCAACTAAAGAAATAGACATTGCTTTCTAACTCAAATTAGCGAGAAAGCACTTTCGAGGGGATGCGGGTAGAAGGGCGTCTATATATTGTCCATTCAAAGCAAAGGGGCAAGCAGTGCCTCTGCTTCAACCCTGGTTGGGCATAAGAAGCAGAAAAACCACAGAACTAACGTAAGAGAGAGTTCCCTGCTTTAAATAAGAATAGGATAGAGAACTCATTACATAGGGAAAGACTATCAACAAGGGGAAGGAAGCGTAGAATTGAAGAGGAAACAAATTATAATAGAGACGAGGATGTGCATTGCAAAATATTGCTGCATTCAAGGACATTTGGTGGAATCAAAAAGAGTTGTGAATACCCCCGAACTTAATAAAGTCGAGGAGTGAGTCGGGGATTGATTTTCGGTGTTCATCTGAACCTCCTCACTGAGACCAGTTTTGCGCAAATGCTGGCTTATATTACCGAAAGAATACAAAGCTTGTCAACGTTAGGCTTTGGCGGCTTGGCACACCAAGAACAAGGTTGAGAACGGGAAAGGGTGTGTCGGAGGTGGTCTGTGTGGGGCTTGTAGTGATGACGACTGACTTCTTGCATCTGAAGTACTGTTGTGGGTCCCCTTTTTCAACAAGGAAGTGGGCAAACAAGTCGCAGCTTATTTCGAAACCCGTGTATGTGTTGTCCACTTATTTGTTTCTAAGTCCCGGGTATTCCAGATGTTAAAAGATCACCAGCTCGCCGGCATATTCTCCGTTATTTGGTTATTACACTAATGTATACGTTGTCACGAAACTATGAGCCTATATGTTAAAAATCACGTTTCCCCTAAAGTAAATAAACTGAGCATGCTCCTTGATGACTATGAATGATAATGTGATTCACTACTTAGCTGTACTACTTTGTGCTTTCAGGCTAATACTAATATCGGCATCAATTGGTACTACTACTTTCAGGTTCCTTTAGATACACCTCGGGAGACTACCAAGGTATGCTTTTCTTGCTACCAGTGTGGCTGGTCCTGAATGGATCCTGTGAATCTGGGTCTTTTTGCGAGAACGACGACGAGAATACAACTCGCGCAGGAGCCGCAAGAATGTACACTGTAAAAAAAAAATCCCGTCAAATTACGGAAATTGCCATTTAATTTTTGATGCCGGTACAATTTCCGTTGTCTTGCATAACGGTCACAGCATTATCTAGGTATTACGTGCATGACAGTAATGAGGCCCTACGGTTTTTGCCCGTAACTTGACCCGTAGAAGCATGGCAGAAAACCGTAACTCTCATGCACGTGATCCACAGATACGGGAATTGTTCCGGCATCGAAAATTAGCTGGCGTGTTGTCCGTAACTTGCGACGGCAAAAAACCGTAACAGTTAATGACTGAGCTGCACGTGATGTGCAACGACTGAAATCGTTCCGGCATCGAAAATTAGCTGGCGTGTTGTCCGTAACTTGCAACGGCAAAAAACCGTAAATCTCAATCACTGAGCTGTACGTGATGTGCGAAAACAGGAATCGTTCCTGCATACAAAATTAGCAGGTGTGTTGTCCACACCTTGCAGCGACGGCCACAGCCTGTTGAACTGCTAGCTGCAGTGATTTAACAAAATGGATGACTAAGTGAACAATAAATATAGCATTTTACTGCTTATTTATTGTTCACTGAGATATCGGTTTTGTTAAATCACTGCAGCTAACATTTTAACAGGCTCTGGCCATTGCTGCAATGTGCGGACAGCACGCCAGCTAATTTTTAATGTTTAATGTCGGAACGATTCCCGTCGTCACTCCTGATGTGTACCTCAGTGATTGAGAGTTACAGCTTTCTGCCGCTGCAAGTTACAGACAACACGTAAACTAATTTTTGATGCGGGAACAATTCAAATTAAATATCTAGTACCCACGGAATGTGACTAGGCTGCGGGTCCAAGCTCTTTCAGGAGTTAATGCCAGCTGCGCATCCCAGAGATTAACAGCCGCTTAAACACGGTGTTAGAAATTTCGAGGAAGTGCACACAAGATACAGTATTAAGTAAAACATGTTCATACCTTTATTCTTAAGAAATAATTAGTGGGCCATTTCCAGCTTTCCTGTGGAAGGCAATCTCTAATTTTCTGAGCAATCAAGTCCATAGGAAGAATTACAGAACCTGGAAAACAAAACAAAAAATGTGGAATGTGGTTAGGTTATGAACAGAATGTGATGACAGAATAAACCTCCCAATTTCCGCAAACTATGAGTTACATGTAAGGCCATTCAAGGAGCCTCACTTGAACTCTGGCGGGCACTAAACAGTGAAACCAACTTGTGAATTGTGATATGAAACCAATTTAACAAGGGAAGTTAGAAAAATTCCTTTGAAGACAGAATTTCCGCATCCAATAAGTTACTTCAAGTTTGTTGTCACGAGTTAATTTCAGAAGTTACTGCCAGCTGTGCCTCCCAGACATAATTAAATACCGTGTTAGTGGGGTTGTGCGAATATTCGGAATTTCGAACTGTAGTTTCAAATAATACACTATTCTATATTCGCTTTGAGAAGAACTGTGCTGTTCGTATTTTTCGAAGTGCTGGTTGTGGCGGGCTAGTCCCGTTGAGTGCGCTTCTTACCATGCACCGTTGCACTGCGGAGAAGCAATACCTGCGGAAGCGAGCTCCGCGGGTGTTGCTTCTCCGCAGTGCAGAGGTGCTCGGTAAGAAGCGCACTCAACAGGATAACCCGCCACGATAAACACTAAAGAAAGTAGAAATATCACAATTGCGTGCTTGGAAGAAAAGCATACATTGAACGCGGGGTGGTGCACGTGTGCCGGCTGTATTTGAAAATAAATGGAAACTTTGTGAATGTGCATATCTACTTTGTAGTAAAAGTTTCAAAATTAAACCGACTGTTATGCAAAAGTATACTGTGTTAGGCAGAGATGCCCTTACAACCTGCGTTCCTCATGCGCGATTCATTCTTTTAGAGCACAGCGCTTAGGCGACCGTTTTAGGCTTGATCGGCGTCGCCATAATCGCGCTTTGCATTATCGGAAGTTTCCCATAATGACGTCACGAAGGTTACCCCCGTGAGGGTTACGAGGGTTAGTTACCCTCGAAAGGGTTACCCTCACGAGGATCACGAGGGTTACTCTCACGAGGATCACCCTCACAGGGGTCATGAGGGTTATGAGAGTTACCCTCACGAGGGTCACCCCCCTCAGTCCCGTGACCTGCCCCCACGAGGTCACGCGACCTCAGGGAGTCACCTATCCCTCAGTACCCTTCCACCCTCCTCCTCAAGAGCTGCGCTCTTATCCGGCGTTACAGGGAGTCGTAAACGGCTTTCATTTTTGAACTCAAATTAACGAAAGATTATTTTATATAGCAAGATTTGTAAATTCACTCAATTGGGCATCTCTATAGGATTCATTTTATGTCAAATCCATTGTTTACTTGCCATTCCAAGACATCAGAACTTCTGAAGTCACAGTTCATAAATATAGATAGATTAAACTTAGCTTAAAAACAAACAAGTGGAACAACGTTCACAAGTTTAGCTGGGTTTTCGTCTAAGGATTATGCAATGATAGTAAAAAGCATGGAAAAACTATTCAATATTCAAATCGAAAATATTCAGCCAATACTTCTATTCGCTTCTAACTCAAAATCATCTATTCGCACAAGACTACGTGTTAGTAAGATATTTCAAGCAAGTGCACGTAAGATGCAGTATGAAGTGAAACA